GGTTAGGACGGAATCTGTGTAGAGATTGTGGGCCTGTCTGTGCGCCGCCTCATTCGTATGCGCTGTTCTGTGGGTGTGTCATGGGTGTGTCCGGGTACCATAGTAGTTTCCTGGCCTCATGGTACACCCGTGAGAGTCCATACTTACATTGGGTGATCCTGGTCCCAGTCTGGCTCCGCTCTCAAACCCCCCCTTGAGTAGTAGTAAGGGTTGGGTGTTAGGCATATACGATTCCCAAGGGCGGGCCTCATGTCTATCTTATGATGCTTGCGGGCTGGGCTTCATCCGGGCTGTTACCTGTCTGCGTTCCCATTGAGGAGGTCGATTGGGGCATGAATCTGGGGAAGGGTCTCCGGGTAGGGGTCTCATCTTAGGCAGGGGAGGGTGGGTCGTCGCATTAATAGTAGAAGGGAGGGTGATAGACACCCATAGAGTCTGCTAGATGTGCTACAGGTGGGAATGACCACATATACGTGACCCCTCCTGTGTCCGGGTCGTCCTCGAGAAATCGGTGTGTCCCGATGGTAGTGCCCAGGGGGGACTCATCTGAGACCCTTGGGAGGCGCAGGTTGGTGTAGGTCTAGGTTTCAATGACACGTCTGGGTCGCACCGCTGTAGGGATCGACTTGCGATCCGATGAGGATAACCAAAATAGACTTCACGAATGATGCCCCCTGGAGGAGACTGTCCTTGAGGGGCTGTCACAAGCCATCTGATCTCCCCTCAGGTCGAGTACAACGACAGGCAACGCAATGGAGTTTTGAACCTGCTACCTCATTCATACCACAATGCGCATTTCTAACCGGTGCTCTAACCACTGACCCAACGGCCATCCACCTTCTTCCCCTGGTCCTCCTCCTCCTCCTCATCATCATCATCATCATTTTTCCTTTTTCCTGGTCAACGATGTTCTTGCAGCTTCCATTTTACAATGCCTCTCATGTGCATGGCTGGCCACGTTGATCACGGTGAATGTTGTTAAGAGCGACAGCTGCCCACAGGCACACTTGCACGTTATGAAGAGAGGCACAGTAAAAGGGGGGGGGTATACTCCAATTCCTGTTTCTTCAGATCTTCAGCTTATGCTTTGTCTATTCTCTTAGTTTTATTCTGGTCATCGGATTGTATCTGATTTCGAACTTGGGTCTGATTCCTATTTCAACAGTTCTGGGTGTACCAACTGATGCTCCTTAGTATGCATGTACTGGCAGTACACAAGGGGAGGGAGGAAGGGAAGGGGATGGAGGCGGAGTTCAATAGGGAGTGAGGGGGGCAGGGGAGGGAGGTAACGGACAGAACAGAGATATCACAGGGTTCCAAATACTCACAGCTGGATCAGTCTACTCTAGAATGGCACACAAGGGGCCAGTCAGCGTTTGGGATCGCTGGTGTTGACATCAACATCCTTGTCGTCAAGACATCTGGACGAGGACCAGGACCGCTGGTGTTGACATCAACATCCTTGTCGTCAGGACGAGGATCAGGTCGATGGTGTTGACACCAACATTTTTGTCATCAGGATGCGGACCACGACAATGATGTTGATGTCAACATCCTTGTCGTCCGAACGAGGATCCGGTCAATGGCATAGACACCAAGATCCTTGTCATGAGGATGAGGACCAGGACAATGATGTTGACGTCAGCATCCTTGTCATAAGGACATTAGAACGGTGATCAGGCCAATGGTGTTGGCGTCAACATCCTTGTCATCAGGACAGGGAGCAGGACAATGGTGTTGACGTGAACACCCTTGTCACCAGGACAAGGAGAAGGACGATGATGTTGACTTCAACATCCTTGTTGTCAGGACGAGGATCAGTTTGACGGTGTTGACTGCAACATCCTTGTTGTCAGGACAAGGATCAGGTTGACGGTGTTGACGTCAACATCCTCGTGGTCAGGACATCGGAACAAGGACCAGGATAATTGTGCCGATGCCAACATCCTTGTCATCAGGATGGGGTACACGACGATTGTGTTGCAGTCAACACCCTTGTCACCAGGACGACGAGCAGGACGATGGTGTTGACGTCAGCATCCTTGTTGTCGGGATGAGGGTCACGTTGATGGTGTTGACGCCAACATCCCTGTCGTCAGGACGAGGACCGCATCGACAGTGTTTGACAGCAATCCTTGTCGTCAGGACATCAGAACGAGGACCAGGACAATGGTGTTGACGTCAACATCCTTGTCATCAGGATGGGGTCCACGATGATGGCGTTGCAGTCAATGCCCTTGTTGCCAGGATGAGGCGCAGGATGATGGTGTTGATGTCAACATCTTTGTCGTACGGATGAGGATCAGGTTGATGGCGTTGATGCCAACATCCTTGTCGTCAGGACGAGGAGCAAGACCATAAGGTTGATGTCGGCATCCTTGCAGCCCTCATCGTTGTCGCCTCATATTCTTTTGTTAGTGCCATATTCTTCTTTCCTCCCCATTCTCCACCTCACAATTTGCATTACCATAATTACTCCCCCCTTTCAATGTTAACAAAAATCCTCCACCTTCCT